ACATGCTACCAGATGAGATTCTGTTAGGATCGCATGGTTTTCATTGGGTAGTAGTAATTACTAGCTAAATACAGAATGTATTACATCAGCGCCAAGCAAGGGCTTGGCCCAGAGAAAACCCCTTGGTAATAGGCACTCGCTACCAATGACTTGGCCGAGTGCCAAGAAGTATTGTCCTGAGGCATCCAGCAAGTGGCTGCCTCAGGCACCGAGAGTAAGCAAACCCTGCAAACCTCTCGGGAGCACATCAGCATCTAATCTTCGAATCATGAGGGCGGTCACAACTCTGCGTCCTTGGCCTAGGTCAAGGCCGCACGTAATAGCGGAAATAAAAAAACCTCTTCGAATTAGATGCAAGGGGAAAAATGATTTGTTCTCCTGCAAGAGCAGATCTACACAGCGTGGCGTGGCCGACGGGTGTTGAGTTTGATCAGCTTCGATGTCAAGGGCGCTTACAACGGTGTGTGCAAAGAACGACTGCTCTAGAGAATGAAAGCGCGAGGCATACCAGGTGACCTGCTCCGGTGGGTCGAAGCGTTCTACTCGGAACGAACGGCGACCATTCAAATCAATAGGCAAGGTTCGGAGGTCTAGAGCCTTCTATAGGCTGGCTTACCTTAGGGCTCGCCCCTATCCCCGATACTATTCCTCTTCTTCAATACAGACCTCGTACAAAGACAGATCGACAACCAGGGCGGAGCGCTAGCGTTCGTTAATGATTTTACCGTATAGGTGACCAGGCCAACCGCCTAAAGCAACCGGGAAAGCATTAAAGTAATTATCAGTAAAGCGCTCGACTAGGAGAAAAGGAGCGGAGCGACTTTTAAAGCAGACAAAACAGCTATTATACACTTTGCTCCCAAGGCTTATAAGTTAGACTAGGGACTTTTTACTATTAAGGGCCAAACCGTTAAGCCTAAGGATCATATTAAGATCTTAGGCGTCCTTATAGATACGAAACTCAAGTATAAGGAATATATTACGAGGGTAGTATCTAAGGGCCTAGAGGCCGCGATAGAGCTCCGACGACTTCGGGGATTATCCCTAGCGATAGCGCGGTAGCTATTTATATCGATAGTAGCGCCGGTCGTAGACTACGCGTCTAACGTCTAGATATACGCGTATAAAGATAAGGTTATAGGGCCGATTAACCGCGTCTAAAGGATAGGAGTATAGGCGATTATAGGAATATTCCTTATAGTTACGACTAATATAGTAGAGGCGGAGGCCTACCTTACTACTATTTAACGCCGTTTCTAGAGACGAGCCGTAAAGATATAAACGGATATATATACCCTACTAGAAACTAACCCTCTTCGCCGGAATATAGTACGTATTAAGAAATTTAGAAGATACTATCGTTCGCTATTATATTAAGTAGTAGACGTACTAAAGAATATTAAGATAGAAACACTAGAAACTATTAATCCGTTTATATTAGTACCGTAGGAAGTACGCGTATAGGCTAGTATTAAAGTAACTTCGTAGTCACCGACCGTACTAGGTAGGTTAATATAGATCGTAACTAGTAGCTCGGCGCGGAACGAGCTCGTCGGGTTTAGGGTAGCGATCGAGAGGTAGCTACCTCGGTATCGAAAACTAAAACTAAAGACCCTTTCCGTTATATTAGATATAAGAGTAGAGTAAAATCCGTTTTCTACGGAGCTAGTAGCGATAGTATATATATTAGATATAGTATATAGACTAAAAGATTATAGGATTACGCTATTTATAAATAATAAAGTAGCGGCTCTAATATTAAGGAATCCTCGATAATAGTTAGGCTAGGAATTCGTCTACTAACTATATAAGTTAATAAGAAAGTTATAGAGAAATAGAAACTAGATTAATATCCGGTAGATCTTAACGAGCGAAGATAATAAACTATAGGGTCTAGCTAAAGAATAGGCTAGAGCCGCGATATAAGAAGATACTCTCCCGTAAGAACGCGTCCCGAGGATAAAGTTAATAATACTAAATATCGTACGGTCCTAAGCGGTCCCTAGCAATAATTTACTAGTAAACGTAGGGAGATATATAAAACGAGTTAATATAGCACTCCTAGGCAAATATACCCGGTAGCTATATAACCGATTATCGTAGAAAGAAGTAAGCGTACTAGCTTAACTTCGAACCGGTATAGTAAGAATTAATAGATATCTCTATCGAATCAAAGTAGTAGATATAGACTAGTATACGTATAAGTAAGCGAGAGAGACCGTAGAGTATTTCCTATTTCGATATCAAAAATAGATAGCGTACCGGACGGAACTACTATAATATACTAATACCTACCGAGGAAATATATCCTTCTTCCTAGGAGGAAAGTCGCCTTCCGATAATTAGAAGTAGACGCCGAACTTAGAGGCGGTATAGGCCTCACTACGATTCGTACGATTCGCTATCGCTATAGGCCGACTCGAGGCCATCTAACCATACCGACAAATATAAATCAACCCCTTTCGCCGACCTAACCTACTAACCACCTCGGGTTACCAATAGTAGACGCGCTTCAACTGCCGAAAATAGGATATTGAACACTTAGAGAAGCGCCTTCAAGCCAGCCTACAAACAAAATTACTAACCCACGAGGATCCGCTGCGATACGCACGTCTGAGATGACATATATTGCAAGGCTTTATGTATAGGCTCTGAGGAGACACAGTACTATATATATCATGACATGTATAATAGATCAGAGATAGTTGCCCTTTCGGCCTAGCCGCCGGGCGTTAATAAATTGTGTGTGTGTATCATCAGCATCAGTTGCTGCCCTTCCCTGAGCGTCCATTTTTTATCATCTCGGCTACCGCAGCTACTTTGGCTCGTGTTACTACGAAATCCTGTTGTAGGCTCATCAGAACGGCATTCGATCCATTATCTATCGCGGCTCGGATATATTGAGCTGCGCTAACAAGTCGTTGGATCAATCAATCGATCTAGCCTATCATAGGAAATACCACGGTTCAAGCGCATATAGATATTCCCACAGACCAACTGAACGTAGGATTCTATCTATCGTAGGACCTAGGATTATGATCGTGGTTGGTCTAGAAGCAACGAGGAAACGTGGTCTTTCGTAGGATATAGGATTTCTAGTGATCATTATGATCGTGCGGGTAGTCTAGGAACGGGGAACCGTGGTCTTTCGTGAGACATAGGATTTCTAGCGATCATTATGATCGCGCGGGTAGTCTAGGATCAACGGGGAAACGTGGTACTTCCCGAGATTTAAAAATTTCAGGCCATCACAATTGCATAGAAGGCTTAAGAGTAGAACCTATAGATTGTCTACGATACCGCAGGAGTGGCGAGTAGGGACACACTGGAGAGTAGGGACGCACTGGAGAGTAGGGACGCACTGGAGAGTAGGGACGCACTGGAGAGTAGGGACGCACTGGAGAGTAGGGACGCACTGGAGAGTAGGGACGCACTGGAGAGTAGGGACGCACTGGAGAGTAGGGACGCACTGGAGAGTAGGGACGCACTGGAGAGTAGGGACGCACTGGAGAGTAGGGACACACTGGAGAGTAGGGACACACTGGAGAGTAGGGACGCACTGGAGCTGTTTGGGTGGGGCAATGAGCGCGACACAAGTTTTAGTGTCGCGCTCCTTTAGATGAAGTTTCAAGTATAGTGGCTCAAGACAAAGAATGCTCAGGTAGCTTAATGGGGCTGTCTCTGGGATCGACTTCCTTTAAGGACGAATCAAGGAATTTGAGAGGCAGTTTCATACACAGGCCAGCTCTGGGAACTGAGCTGCTCCTAGAAGCCCAAGCCCTTCCTAGAGGTAAACTGTGGGTTCCCAGGCTCGAGCAAAGTGCCCCTAGGATGATGGACTAGAGCCCCTAGGGCTAGTATGCGTACAGCAAAATAAGACACGGATCACCCTAGTTTGAAAAAATGAGGAAAATACCGATCCCAGAATCACTTCTGTTGATCCTGGGATGACCAGTGGTTGCCTCTAGGAACTCTACGTAGGGCACAAAGGGGAGCCATCAATCATGGAACGCGAAAAGACCATGATATTCAAAGACCACGATATTTTTCTCAAATTATTATACGCAAATTGGTCCTTTATATATTGAACTCATAAAGGCGGCCCCCGCAAGACTTGAAGGGCAATCACCAGTGTTGTTATTTGCGGTCATCAAATAGGTGCCGCAACGTGAAAGCAACCGTATTTCAAGAGCAAGTTTCCCTTAGAAGGCCGAGAACAAAAGAATGTGGAAGTGGCTATATATTATATTTACCAAACCAAGTTTAATAACGCTCCTAGGACTTATCCGTATAGTGGGGAAAATTTCGAGGGAAGCAAGTAGACATTCACGTTAATAATATGTACGTTCGTTGCATACAGTACTAGTGAACCACAGGAGTAAGCTCAAGTTCTCCGGTCTCGCCCGAGGGCTCGGAATGGAGCGGAGGTGGTCCTTGCAACCAGGCTGAACTAATTTTGGGCCAGAAACCAAAGGGTATTAGGAAAATGCACGGACCTTTGATATAGGTGGAGAAGGTGATGTTGTTTAACCAATCCTATTCAATCAACCCGACTTTTCTACATAGAGGACGGCGTCTTAACGACCTTCTCACCACTTTCATCACTTTGAACGGCCTCATATTAAAACATTTAAACTATTGAATTTTAATTACTACAGTATCATCCACCACCTCCGTTTTCCTACTAACCTTTATTGAACTTGGAATTAGGCAGGCCTTTATATCCCCTAGACCAGTTCATTTAAAATCTGATCAAGAGACTGTCATCAATTAATTGAGAATCAACGGTAGGCCGCGACAGCCCTCAACTACCTCGGCCCTCACAAAAAAAAAAATGGGGTGTGGTATTGAAGCAAAGCTGCACTAAGTTTGCAAGTCTGGAGGCGCAACATCTGTATAGAGTTCATCAGGTTACATGTAGGTGTGTTGCACTGCGTTGTTTCGACTTGTCAGATTGCCAGACTACCTACTCCGCCGACGCACAGATTCCCCTCCTTCTGTCACTTGTCACTTCGTCTCCACACACTCACCCAATCCATTCCTTTCCCCATCGGATGCGACTTCTCGGCCTTCCAATGACCGACTCTTTGAAATCCGTTCGCATTTTCGAGCTCCAATTCAGTGAGCGGTGCTCCTTCGACGTCATACCGAATCTCCTGTCCAGGGTGACTCAAATGCGCCAAATAGACGGATGAAGGCGAGGCGTAAGGGGGCCCACCGAGGGACAGCTTTTTCTGGGTCGGAAATTCGACGCAGACGATCACACTTTCCTGGTGCGTGGAAAGGAGATCCCAGTACCGGCGAGCCCACGAGGAACGAAGGTCAGGGGTGAGGGCACAGAAGAACTGCCCTTGCAATGTCAGCCTTATATCACACACACTGAGGTCAAATTTATGTTATTTCCCCTTAGCACGTTATACAGCTTGCCGATGGCGACATTCACGCGAACGGACTTATACCAACACCACGATGTGAAGGTGGACAGATAACTCGAAGGAATCCACTCACGGTATAGTCATAGATGATCTCGAATTTACCAGGAAGGTCCATGCGAGCAATCCACTCGTCACTAAAAAAGTCACCTATGATGAACTGCGCCTTCCCTGGTCCAGCTGCCTGATCTCGAACAGGATAATCGGCCAGATGCTCCCCAGCCCACGCATTAGCTTCCTCAGCCGCCTTAGTCGATACGTCAAGGCCATAGGCGTCATAGCCTAGGCTGGACAGGAGGAGGACGTCATATCCACGTCCACAACCCGGCACCAGCGCTCGCTTCCTCCGGCACTCCCCCTTTCCGTCATGAATAAAGGCAGAGGCACCAATGAGATCCTGACGGTTCTCCATGACATGCACAAGGGCCGGATTGGGAATGCCCTGATCCCAAGGGAGGAAGTCGCCCGCATCCCATAGCGCTGCCCACCGATCATTGGCTGGAGGGCCCTCGCCACTGAAATGCTTCAGAAGACGCGAGATCTCCTCCTGGTTGAGAGGCTTTTCCGATTCAGTCATATTGGAGGATGGGTAGTGTTTGTAAAAGATATTGGATAGAGTGTGCTGACGTTAAGGTCTTGTTCAGGTTACCGTCGCTTTAGGCCTTTCTACTGTTGGATGACGGGCTAACCAGGTCAATTTATGTCAAAACGGATTCCGTGACGATTTGCAGATGACCTCGGCCCAACGTACATCGAATCCTTCACCAATGCCGTCTAAGCGAATGGGCATCCTTATCCTCTGGTTCACGGATGATAGCTCTCGTCGATCCTATGAATATGGTCAGATATTCCCGAGCAGGATTCCAATCTCGTCGATGTGCATCAATCGAGGTCATATATCACACCCATCCTCACCTGAGACCACTCATAATGTCTACCTAGCGCCCGTAACGATGAGAAGGGAATATCGCGTAACCTCGTCGACGCTGAAGTGGTGTCCATGTCTCTGCAACCGGCCAAATTCAGAGTATATGTGTCAAACTCCACACGCTACTCCCTTTAGGTTGAGGATACCCGAAGGCGATTGGCCCCATCCGCCCGAATACATATGCAAGGTGTTCTCGGTGACCATAAGGGGGCCATCTCATCATGGTTAGTGGTATTGTCTATAGAAAGCTAATAGAAGAGCGTGCAATTTAAAAGATGAGACTAATCTCCTCAGTCCGGTTCAATTGTCACCAGCTTGATTGAGCAATATCTGTTATAGACACTACCGCTATACTTCCATTTAGTTATACCTGATCAGACTTTTCATCTCATATCATGGATAGAGACACTGACCACGATGCCTACAGCGCTGAAACCTTGCGCGAGACTGAATATCCTATGCTTAAAGGTGAATAACTAGAAATATATGTACTAAAGCGAGAACACTTTATAACCAATTTGTCTAGGGGAGACATATCTCGACCATACCGGTACGACTCTCTACGCACAGTCCGCTCTCAAAAGCTTCACCGAGGAAATGTCCACCAGCCTCCTTGGAAACCCGCACTCTGATTCACGGTCGTCGCAACTCTCAACAAAAAAGGTCGAAGAGGTCCGAAAGCGGACATTAGAGTTCTTCAACGCCGACCCGGAGCATTTCGATTTAGTTTTTGTTATGAATGCTACTGCGGCAGTTAAGCTCGTTCTCGAGGCATTAAAGGATGTACCCGTGTCCCAGGACCTAGAGAGGACCTCCTGGGGGCCGAGGTTCTGGCTCGGATATCATCTTGAGTCCCATACAAGCATTCTGGGTGTGCGCGAACTGGCAGATGCCGGACAACATTGCTTCGTCTCGGATGATGAAGTCGAGTCCTGGCTCAGACCCACGTCCTCCAAGGACGAGACTGGTCGATGTCCAGGGCAAATTTCGAAAACCTTCCAAGTGGGCCTATTCGCGTACCCAGGACAGACAAATATAAACGGACGACGGCTGCCTCTTCACTGGCCAGAAGTTTTACGCCAATCGAAAGATGCCTCCCACCAGCGGGTGTTCAGCCTTTTGGATGCCGCAGCTCTAGCCTCGACCATGTCACTGGACTGCTTCCGTGAGCCGGATACAGCCCCCGACTTCACAGCCGTCAGCTTCTACAAGATTTTCGGCTTTCCTGATCTGGGAGGGTTGATCGTGCGCAAGAAATCTGCACATGTATTGCAGCAGCGTTCCTACTTCGGTGGTGGCACCGTGGAGATGGCCACCTGCTCCGACCGACCATGGCATTCTCGAAAAGTAGCCTGCATCCACGAGGCACTCGAGGATGGTACTGTCCCATTTCATAATATCGTTGCTCTCGGATGTGCTCTTACAACACATGAGCAGCTGTATATCTCCCAGGAGCACGTGTCTTGCCATACAACCCGCCTCACTGTACGCCTCTACGAGCTGCTCTCTTCTATGCGCCACTCAGACGGCGAGAGAGTGTGCGAGATTTATAAAGATCACACTGCCACATATGGCGACAGTAAGACTCAAGGGAGCATCATCGCCTTCAACATCCGCTCTGATGAAGGCCGGTGGCTAGGCCTCTCTCATATCGAGAAAGCTGCCAATGAGCACCGCATCCATCTTCGCACGGGTACTGTTTGCAACCCAGGGGGCCTAGCAAAGATACTAAACCTGGAGCAGTGGGAGCTGTTCCAGAACTACACGGCCGGTGTTCGATGCGGATGTCGCAGCGTGCTCATTGGACATAAGCCTTCGGGTATAATCAGAGTCAGTTTGGGCGCCATGAGTACCATAAGCGACGTCGAGATCTTCGTGAGGTTCATCCGCAACCTCTCCGCGGCTGGCTCTCTTCCTCTGCTGACACCCACGCCTCTTCCCTCGCCCCAGAGCCTTCGACTGCATACTCTGATGGTTTACCCAATCAAGGGCTGCGCTGCATACACCGTGCTAGAGAATAAGCCCTGGCAGGTCACCTCAACCGGCCTGCAGTGGGACCGCCAATGGTGTATAGTCAACTTGCAAACCGGATCAGTGGTCGATAAGAAGGAGGTTCCACGCATATTACTTATCGAGCCTGAGATCGATTCCAAAAACGGGATTTTGCGAATCAGCGTCCACCACTCGCTGCAGCAGAGCCATCCCAAACTGCGAGGCACTATAGAAGTCCCACTGTTCCACCCGGGCGAAAGGAACCCCTCCAACAAGACGGGTAGCTATCAATATTGGACTACCGTCGTCCAGGAGGTCCGCCATCCCTGCAGCAACGCCCCTCAGCATGTTCAACTCTATGAATCGCCCGATCTCGCTACCTTTCTGACCGCCGCCCTTACCGTTCCCTGTACTCTCGCGAGGTTTTTCCATCCGGAATGTCTACCGGGGCGCCCTTCGGATCAACTCCCGAACCATTTGGCGGAGGTGACGGTCTGCTCCAGCCAGGATTCCACGATTGATCGATATCCGATACCCATCCCAGTTGAAGCGGAGAGTGGCCGATCCAGACCACGCGCTATTGCTCTGATGGAGATCCTGCGAGTCAATGCACTGATGTATTCTAATCTAGAGTCTGGGCACCGACAATGGTATCTAATGCGTATTGGACGGAGGGATCTAAATGGTGAAAATGACAAAGCGCGCGTCATTCATTACGGGCGTATGAAGGCGGTTGAAATGACCGCGGAGCGACAAGGGCCCGAGATCTTTGAGGCGACGAGCCCCGTGGTCAAGATCTCATGGAGTGAGGGTAGTTGTAGTGGTAGTGATGATCAAGTTGATCATGATGCAAAGGTTATGGGCTCGCTTGATGGAATGCTGCCAATTCATGCTGGTCAGATTGTTCAGGTCTAGGTATAATTCCCAATTTATATTCTAATGGTCTTTATATATTTGGGGAAACTAGTCCATTCCACCCAAACGAGGGATGCCGAAAACAAAATACGAAGCAAAAGGGAGGCTTCCTCGCTCTAGTCTTATATATAGAGCCGACTATAGCTATTCTGAATCGAATTTCTCATTGAAAGATGCCCCCCATGACAAGAGCTCTCGCCGCAAGGCAGCTGATCATTCTCCGCGAATCTCAGTATGTAGTTCCATATCAGACTCCAAGGCTATTTACTACTCCACAGATCATGCACTCACGTAACATATCGTGTATGGTTCAAGTCAATTTCGAGAGAGCCTGGATTATATATTTTTTGTGTAAGTCTTATCGAATTTAGACCTAGAGAGTGAACATTACCACCCCATTAGCCAGAAACCAAACAACATGAATATCCCATTATGTATTGTATGCATCATGAGCACAGCGCTAGAGCTGTATGACTTTGGTAATATTCACGTCAGATATTGCACTCTACCGTCGCGCTTGACACAATCTTCTGCGTATGCTCTCTTCTAAGAAATTTCATGCTATTCCAAAGGAGACAAAGCATGGAGTTTTTGCATGCTTTCGGGTAGCTTCAAGCGATAATTCACTGGCCCCAATTTTTCTTCAATTTTGAACGGTCCTAATCGTAGGTGGTCCAATTTATTGCTGGGTCGCTTGGTTTTGATGTTACGGCGCAATAGGTAAACCTTTCCCCCTCCTCAAGGTCAGGTTTCCCTTGGAAGGCCGAGAACAAAAGAATGTGGAAGTGGCTATATATTATATTTATCTCGTAGGCGCTTATGCTTACGTATCTTGTTCGCATTGCGCTTTTGCACCTTGTAACCATTACGCCAATTCCCTATGTCCGGTTAACACCGATAGAGTAAAAAATTATAGATCTATAAGCTTCAGGATAATAGAATATTCTTAGGGGTCTAAAATTTCGGGCTATGAATTTTAAAATCACTTGAACTATACCGCCTCTTGAAATTTGCGTACTGCAATTTTCCTAAAGGTCGAATATTCCGAATACAAAATTTTAAAGGGATCTTTTATTTAGGCTCATTTAAAATTTAACCTTCTTAAAGTCTAAGTCTTATTATTTTCTCCTCTATTTTATCTACCTATCTTGGAAATTTGTCATATCCTAGGAAGATGTATTCTAGGAACGTTAGAACTACTACAAAGGGAGAGCGAAGGTATACTTATACCATTTCTAAATAGATAATGTAGGGCCTCGAACTATTTAAGATTCGTATATAGCCCGGCTAGATAGAATTTTTTAGTCGGAAGGGTTTTCTCGCCTAAACCCAGAGAATTATATAAAGGTCTTAATAGCAATGATATTCTTTAGTAAGCTCTAGCTACCCGGGATGAAACTAAGGCCTTCCTAAATAGCCTATTGAACTTTTTAAAACTCCGAAATGAAGTACGGCTGAATATTATGAACGATTTATGTGATATTTGGGTAGTTGGACTAGAAGTAAGGTTTGTTTTTACTAGCCCTATAATGGATTATGCGGATAAAGAGTTATTAGAATCTTTTCTGGTATGGATCGACAACCAAAGAGCTATGTGATACTTTCTTAGAGAATAAGAAACTGCTATATAGTAGGGCGGTCTATGTAGAAACTGCTATATAGCAGGGTGGTCCTATATAGAAACTACTATATAAGAGGTAAGTCTATATAGAAACTGCTATATAGGAAGTATGTCTATATAGAAACTGCGATATAGGAAGTATGTCTATATAGAAACTGCGATATAGGAAGCAAGCCTATATAGAAACTGCGATATAGGAAGGAAGTCTATATAGAAACAGTACTCTAGAAGCGTAGCGAATCGCCGGGGCTTCCTAGAGGCGGTCAGTAGAATGCACAAAAGAGCCTAATACAAATAGCGACTACGAATATAAACGTATTTAAGCCTTCGAGCCTTTAATAAGACACGAGATATAAATAAACTTCCGGCATAGCTTTTAAATGACATATCACACTAAGTAGGAAGCTCGTAGGCGTTAAGCCGAGTTGTAGTGTCTATATATAAGGAAGAGAAGCTCGCGACTAATGGTCGACTTATAAAGGAGAAGAACCTTCTATAGATAGCATCCTAGGTATTTATAAGATACCTATTTTAGGACATATATAGACCTATACTACTTAAACTAAGAGTATGATATAGATAAGACGTATAGTACCCCGAAAGAATTTTAATAGAAGTAGTACTAGGATAAAAGATAGATCTTATATCTATAATAGAGCTATATAGAGTATCCTATAGGGTATAAAATAAGAGGACGTTAATAAAACATCACTGCTAGTTAGACTATTTTAAGAGCAAGGTTTCCTTAGAAGGCCGAGAACAAAAGGCTTCTTTCGAGAGGGTTTAGGTTATAGGAGAATCCTCTTAAGAGGAAATTAGTTATAGTACGGCTAGCTAAAGAGTACGTACGATATAGAAGGGTAACCGTTATATAAGCTAGGTCTTAATACTAGTTCTCTCCTAGTCTAATTATTTTAGGCCTAGGCTAGTTTTGAGATAGTCTAGGGCGACTACGAATTACGGATAGCGGTTTTAGCCAGACGCCGTTTAGTAAGGATTATGTTTATTAGCTTATCATCTTACTATAGGAGCGGGTCTCTATAGTAGCTTTTATTAGACGATAGTATACGCTACGGACGCTAGACCTACGTTCTCGTCTTAGAGCCTCGGTAGGCGCTTATATATAGCTACTAAAACCGTCCTACGATAAAGAAAGGCGGTATCAAAGGGTGTTTTTTTAGCCCGCTCTCTATCTCCTCTACCCTTCCTCTTAATACACTATATAACTATATCTACTCCCCCCTTTAGACCTATTCGGCCTCTAATAATAACTAAAGAAGTAGTAGTTAATCAATTTCAAAATAAAGTATCAAAATAAGATACGAAGATAGTCTACTACCTATAAAGAATGTTAGCGTCGGCGGACAAAGGTAGGGAATATAATCTTCTACTAATTAAAATAGTATAGTAGTAGAAATCCGTGCTCGGAGTATAGAAAACGCGACTATATCTACGATATCAATAAGAGCTCTAATAAACGATATAAACTCTACTTAAGTATAATAGAAGAAGAACTTAAGTACTATCAATAATTTATAGATAGGTTTCTTAACGTAATACGGACTTCTAATAATACTAATATCTACTATATTATCGATCATCGACTAGTGAGATATAGACTATAGCGAATCGCGTTTTTACTGATAATCGTTCTTCTTATAATAACGTCCCTAAAGGAGGTCTGTTAAGGGGCTAGCCTAAGAGGAAGGCTTCTAAATCGGATTATCTTATAGCCTAGCTACTAGATCTAAGCGAAATTCAAAGTAATAGCGACTTAGCCTAGCAACCTATTTCTATACCCTACGAGCTATAGCGTGCTACTAACGAATATCTCGAGAAGTCTAAGAATCTAGAAATATAAGGAGCTTCTAGAGGATATTCGCTTTTAGATGTTTTATAACGCCGGATCCACTTTAGCGCTATTTATCTAAAAGAATAGTTACCTTAACTATAACTAGAAGTATCCTTACTATATAAGATAGCGTTCCGGCGCTATACTATTAATATATATTATATACGTAGTTAGTCGCTAGCGTTACTCGAATTTAGTATAGGAACTTTAAAGATAAGAATAAGTAGGCTATAATCTCCTAGGCCGTAGTTAAGTAGGGAGATCCGGATAAATATAGATATATACTATCTATCTCGTCGGGGTAGTATATATAACGCTATCGCCTAGTTATATTACTATTACGACTTAATACCTAATCGTATAATATAGCTTAGAAGATTACGATCGTACTAGTATCTAATTATTTCCTGAGGCTAAGTCCGTTACTATTAGATCTTAGGTATATAAAGGGCCTCCTTCCCCTAGCCGGTTATATACTCTAATATTCTCTTTTCCTCTTCCTAAGCTTATACCGACTTTCCTCCCCTAAGAGCGGCGATAAAGATTACGATAATAAGCCCCTCCGACACAATTATTATTACCGATAATAAGGAATTGCTAAGCCTCGAGCTAGGTAGCTTATAACCTCGAAGGGCCCCTCGCTATAATTATAGTTATTATGATTTTAAGAGTATGATTATAGAATTAGTCGCTAATAAGACGGATATAATACTATTACGTAAACGTAAAAGAACCGAAACGAAAGAGCTATCTACTTTAGTACTAGTTCTCTATAAGACCTTATTTATCCTTAACTAATAATAGACTAGGAAAACGCCTTTAAGGAGCTCTAGGGGGCGGTTAGCTATAAAGTATAATGGCTATAAGAGAAAAATCGTATCTTTTAAGATAAACTTCGCTAAGAGAGGGAGAGGCACTAAAAGACGTAAGAGGAACTTTCCTAGTAAAGAGAAAAGTATATCTTAGAGTATAAGATCTATTATATATAGCTAGATCGCTAGGTACTTATTTTATATAGACATATAGTATATAGGTCATACGTATTATACGTAGGAAGTCTTAGAACAATAGAGAAGTGTCCTATCTACTAGGTACTAATCATCGGATATATCGGATACTACCCTTTTATAGGATAAAGTATATATATATCGTGTTATAGGTCTAGTTTAATAACTAAAAGACTATAATCAATATATACCTAAGCTTAACGTCAAGTGATATTACTATAGCTATTAACTAGACGTATATCTTTTACGGACTTAACTACTAACTAGCAGCTATTCTGCTTAGAAGGAAGTAGTAGTTAGGAACCTTATAGTAGGGATTAGGAACGGATATATAAGGCACTCCGCCCCTATAATATAGAATATAACAAGTCAATCAATTATTTTAATACCCTCCTCACTCTTAGTAGGTAGAACAGCCGTCAAATTTTTAATTGAATTTCTAAGTTTTTAAGCCATTATAGATCAATACCTATAGTACGATAGTTAGGTCAACCTTAATACGTCTAGTTTCAGCGTAATA